AAGGAAGCATTAATCACCGCCAGGATGGGAATGTTGCATTCAACTAAAAGCCTAGTTCCCATATTATTCTTAACTCAGTAAGCCACTAACTCAGTCATAGTTCCTAGCCTAACCAACATGCTGCTTTCAACATTGATCCAATTGCAAATCATGTTGGGTGGACCAAATCAGAATGTCAGTATTAAAGAAACATTTACAGCGCAGAAATCTGGATTAAAAGGCAAGAAAATGTGCAGCTGAGTAATGTCAGAAATCTCTGCATTTCTTTACCCCATCCTCTAATCTTGAGCTTGACTATTCAGCATTTTTTTCTTTTAAGAATCAATGCTGCAATGATTACAGAGTTATAATTTTGGTTCAATAATATGGCAGTGGGCCATCTTGTCAGATCAGCTGATCATCAGTGCCTATTGCTGTTCTTTAGTTCTATTTTATGAGGGATAATTATGATGAATTTCACTAGCATATGAAATAAACAATCCTTTCCTGGAAATAGATAAGGAGGGAGGTAATAATTATTTTTCTTCTTTTAACTGTGTAAGTATTAGTCCCATAGCCTGCAATCATTTCTTATTCAGGCAGTGAACATAACACCATCTTTTATTTCTCAAAAGGTTTAGAATTCTACCCTTATTTCCTCATATGAGTGTTATAAAGCCAGCCCACACTGGAAGCCTCTTAAGGATCCCCAACTATGTAGGGATTGTGATCATTTATAGCCTCAGGCAATCTCAGTTGTGGAACATGGAAGTTCTACTTCCATGACTTGGTGTTACCTTTGATTCTCAACAGGTTAGCGTTCCCCAGACAAAAGTCATTGCTCTTGTGGCTTGAGAGGCCTTTGCATATAAGTGATGTTATTTGCATTGGCTATCATAAAGTTAAACCAAACATGTATTTGAAATTAACAAATAGACTACAGATAGTCCTTAGATTATGATCACTTGTTTAGTAATCATTCAAAATTATAACAGTATTGAATGAACAATACTTATGCCCAGTCCTCGAAGTTCTGGTCATCACAGGATCATATGATTATAATATGGGCAGTCAGCAACAAGCTTACACTTACAACAGTTGCAGCATTCCACAGTCACGAGATCACCATTTGTGACCTTTCCTGCTGACTTCTCACAAGGGGAGAAGGTTGACCAGGGAAGGTCATAACTTGCTCCCACTACTTTCTCCCGCAGAGCCCTACTATGAAGTACAAATAGCAGCTCCCTGCCTGCCTACATTTATTTTTGTATTTCATTAGAACGGTTGTGACCAAATTTCTTTTTAGCATTTTTGGAGGAAGTTTAAGTGTAGGAATCAAAGAGGAAAATCTGTATGAGGCAAACCGCCACCATTACCTCAAAACCAAAAAAAATGCCTCTAAAGCACACTATCAAATGTCATTCATATTGCTGTGGGTGTTGGGATGGAGGCATACTGGAGTGCAGGATCACAGGTTGCCCACCTCAGTTTAAGTGAAGTTTTGAGGTGGGTTAAGTCTTATGTAAACCAGGAAGACATAATGCTATTGTTCTTACTCTTGGAGGTGAGTGATACCAGAATCAGTTTAATATGATGTACAGCACATTGTTGTATTACAGTATATTGTTCCATTATAATATAGTGTTGTATTCAACATTGTATTGCTGAAATTGGATTAGTTCAAGAATTTATCTTCCTTGGATCCAAAATTGTTCATGGTGGCATTCTACTCCTGAAATCAAATGTAAGATATATTTAGGACACACCACAATGGTTAACATGAATAAGATCTGGAAAAGCAGAAATATTGATAAATACAAAAAGCAGGCTAGTCTTCCTTATGTATGGACACTAAGAATGGCTGATCGAAGAAGTACTGACGCCTCTGAACTGTGGTGCTGGCGAAACTTACTGCGTATATCATGGAAAACTAGAGTAATTAACAGAGAAGTGTTAAATGATATAAAACCAGACATATCACTGGAAGCTAAAATCAGGCTAGATCTGATTTACTTTGGCCATCTTATGCGTGCAAATTCATTGGAGAAAGCAATGATGTTAGGAATGGTTAATGGACCAAGAAGAAGGAGCAAGCAAAGGATACACTGAGGGGTCCTTAGTGGTGTCTGAGCTTGCTCGTTTTCTTGCAGGCGTTTCATTACCCAAATTAGGTAACATTATCAGTGGTTTGATAATATCAAATCTGATGCAAAGTTGAATATAAAACAACTGAAAGAAGTTGTGCTTGACAGGGGTAGCATAGAGAGCACATGCCTATAAAGTCACCAAGAATCGGGCACAACTAAATGGTTAAAAACAACAGCACATTGTAAATAGAGTATAGTTTTTCTTAATTTGGTGAGTTGGATTTCAGTTCTAATAGGCCCTGCATATATCTCAACGGTGCCATGTGGGAGAAAACTGTAACAGAATATAATGTTTGTGTCTGGGTTGGGTTTCATATGTAAGTCTGAGAAGAGCAAAATATGAACTACTTTTCATATGGCAGGTCACTTTTTCTTTTCCCCTTCTACAGTTGGCCATGGGCAAAGTGAAGGAGACCGTATGGTTGTGTCCGACTTTCACGTGTTTGTCAGAGACAGCTTGCAGCACATAGATCTTATGAAGAAGGATCATCCAGGTGTTCCTATGTTCCTTCTGGGGCACTCCATGGTAAGCACACTATCCTTCCTCATGGAGTCTTGGCCTTCTATAGAGCAGCAGACGCTGTTTATTTTGGGTTAGGATTCTGAAGTCTAACAATTAATACTGGTGCCAGGAGGTTTTTTTTTATTATAGCCTTTTCTTTCTCTGCTTCCTCTCCTTTCCCTTTTTTTTGTTTTCTTTTTTCTTTTATTTTCACAAAAGTAGTGGCTATGTTATTGGAGTTATTTGTAAATAGCTGCCCACCTAAATGTAAACTGCACAGTTGCTAGTTCTAATGTGAAATTACAGATGTACACACCATTTCCAAGGCTTATTTCCAATATTGAAGTGCTATGAGCCTGGAATTTCTAGAAACGCAAGTGGAAAAACATACCCTTCTTATTTTTCTCAAAAAGGAATGATGTGATATGAATGTATGTTTTTATGTATACAGTATATGAGAGAGGTAAAAGACAAAATGTTTTGGAGATTCTGATGGACTTTACATGGATTGTTATTCTCATAATTTTCCCAAACCATAAATAAGCCAAGAGTTTGTTCTTTTTCAGACAGATACACACAGAGGTAGACAGACAGACAATAGATTGTGTTGTATGTCCCCTTATTCATATTGGTTAAAATGTTTCTATACCAATTAAGGGCCATATTCATTTTAAGAGTGAGTTTCCCCATTTTCTAAGATTCTCATGTGTTGTTAAAGGGAAGGATGAATATAGCATTGGAATACATTTTTGCAGTGAAAAGAAAGGGAAAGGAAAGGAAATGGGCAAGATGAAAGCCAAAAATGAACTTCTGGATTGGGAGCCACAATTCAGCTTTCCAATACTAAAGGCTACAGAAGATCTTTTGATGGTGAATTAAAATCACAAAAGGGGTCAGGGCCCAAAGTTCCAGTTCCTTGAGAAGGCTGGATAAATAATAAATATTTCCATTCATCCTTACAATCCTTGTATGTTCAGAAACTTGGAGAAAAATTGCATTGCCAGAAATCAGCCATTTCCTACCAAATTTTAGCAAGGTATTCTTCGGATGCACCAATAGCTATAGATCAGGGGTGTCAAACTGCTGGCCCACGGGCCAGATGCGTCATGGCGAAACCACGCCCACCCCATTGCCGGCAATGGAAAAAAAGTTGTGATACGTCGCGACACATCACGTGACGTTGTGAGTTTGACAGCCCTGCTATGGATGGTTTGCCCACCCAATCCAAGGTTATAATTAAAAGAAAAGTAAAAATTTGACATACCAAAGAGATGTTTTCAGAGGGAGGAACACTAATTCTGTCAACCCAAAAACACAGTGCAGCTAAATCTACCCTTTTTTCTTGAACAAATTTTGTGTAGAATGTAAACAGATGAAAGGATAGGTGGACAATTCAGCAAGCGTAATGCCTTAAAGGTATATCAAGAACTAAGATGGACATTGAACAGGCTTGTGATACGGGAATGGATATATCATTACTCATCAACTTTGAATCATTTAATCATTTAATGCAAGAATAAACCATGTAAAATAAAAGATATCCCCAAAGTTATGTTATTGTTTACTCATAACACATGTAATATTCTATGATGTAGACTTTGTGCTACCTTAGAGTAGAATTTTTATTTTTACTGCAAAGGATGTACAACCCCAGTCATAGCTTGTTCTGAAAGTTTTAAGCTAGCTAACAAAAGTTAAGAAGGGTCAGGGATGAAAATACAATAGGTTGCGTGTGTGAGTCAATTGTCATTCACTTTAAAGGAATGATTTATCATCTCTGAACTTTAATATAGCTGTGGAATGTATCAGTGACAGCTTGTACTCTGGAGATACAGTGTACGCATATTCATTTCTCATTCTATTCGTTTTAGTTATCAGCAGAATTCGGATTATTAAAGGCAAAAAAATCCATTGAAATTGCTAATGATCTACTTTTCACATATACACATTACACACACACACACACAC